AAAAAAAAAAAAACCAAATAGCTTCTGTACAGCTAAGGAGACAACAACCAAAACAAATAGACAACCATCAGAATTGGAAAAGATATTTGCATATTGTGAATTGGACAAAAGCTTGAGAACTAGAGAAAACTAGAGAGAAGCTTGAGGTCTACAGAGAGCTCAAATTAATCAACATGAAAAAAACTAACAATGTCTTATCTCAATGAACAAGAAAGATGAATAGAACCTTCTCTAAAGAAGAGACAAATGGCCAACATATGAAAAAATGCTCATCATCCCTAATTATCAGAGAAATGCAAATCAAAACCACTCTAAGATATCACTTAACCCCAGTAAGTGGCCCACATCACAAAATCTCAAAGTGCAGATACTGGTGTGGAGGTGGATAGAAGGGAACCCTTTTACACTGCTGGTGGGACTGCAAACTAATACAGCCTTTATGGAAGGGAGTATGGAGAATCCTCAAAGAACTCAAACTAGACTTCCCATTTGATCCTGCAATCTCATTACTGGGCATCTACCCAGAAGAAAAAAAAATCCTTTTATCATAAGGACATTTGTACTAGACTGTTTATCGCAGCTCAATTTATAATTGCCAAATTGTGGAAACAACCTAAACGCTCACCAACCCAGGAATGGATCAACAAGCTATGGTATATGTATGGAATACTATTCAGCCGCTAAAAACAATGGAGACTTTATATCTTTGTATTATCCTGGATGAAGTTCGAACACATTCTTTTTAGTAAAGTCTCACAAGAATAGAGAAGCAAGAATCAGCAATTCTGATATGAGGACAACTGAAGACCTAGTACATGGTCGGGGGTGGGTGAATGGGAGAGCAGAGAGAGGGAAGGAGGGAGGGGGTTGGGGGTCACAGTGTATGACACACCTCTTGGAAGCAGGACATCATTATAACAGGAACTTTTGTCTAACAAATGCAATCAGTGTAACCTGGTTCTCTGTACCCCGAATGAATCCTCAACAATACAAAAAAAAAAAATGATGCTTAGTAAGGAAGGCACATCAAAAACAAAGAAAGGCCAAAAGGCAGGCCTCTTGTAGCAAACAGCCAAGTTATGAATGCAAAGGAAAAATTCTTGCAGGAAATCAAAAGTGCTACTCCTGTGAACATATGAATGACAAAAAAGTAAAACAGATTTATTACTGGTAATATGGAGAAACTTGTGGTCTGGATAGATCAAACCAGCCACAACATTCTCTTATACCAAAGCCTACTACAGAGCAAGACCCTAACTCTATCAATTCTATGAAGGCTGAGAGAGATAAGAAAGCTGCAAAGAGAAGTTGGAAGGTAGCTGACGTTGGTTCCTGAGGTTTAGAGCAACAAGCCATCTCCACAACATCAAAGTGTAAGGCAAAGCAGTAACATCTGATGGAGAATCTGCAGTAGGTTATCCAAAAGACGTAACCAAGATAACTGATGAAGATGGCTACCCTAAACAAGAGATTCCAGTGTGGATGAAACAGCCTTATATTGGAAGAAGATGCCGTCTAGGATTTTTATAGCTAGAGAAAAATTAAGCTTCAAAGAACAGGATGACTTTTTTGTTAGAGGCTAACACAGCTGGTGACTTTCAGTTGAAGCTAATGTTCATTTACCATTTTGAAAATCCTAGGGCCCTTAAGAATTATGCTAAATTTACTCTGCCTGTGCCCTAGAAATGGAACAATAAATCCTGAATGACAGCACTTATTTCTGTGTCTCAGTTTGCAGTGGTTTTCAACCTGTGGGTCATAACCCCTTTGTAACAATAAAAATACATTGCAGCATTAGGAAGGTTGAGAACCACTGCTATGAAGGAACTACCTGAGGCTAGGTCATTAATAAAGACAAGAGGTTTATTTGGTTCATGGTTCTTCAGACTGTATAAGTGGCATCACACGAGCATCTGCTAACAGTGAGGCCTTCAGGGAGTTTCCAATCAAGGTAGAAAGAGAATGGGAAACAGGTGTGTCACAGGGCAAGCAAGCAAGAAGAGGAGGTGGCCTCAGGTTCCATTTAACAACCCGCTCTCATGTGAACTCACAGAGCAAGAACTTAGTCATTATAGCAGGGAGGGCACCAAGATATTCATGAGGCATCTGCCCCCAAGATCCAAACACTTCCCTCCAACTTTGCTATCAAATTTCAACATGAGATTTGGAAAGGTCAAACATCCAAACCATACTGATCTGTTTACAATATGGTTTATAGATTATTTTAAGCCCATTGTTGAGACCTGCAGCTTAAGGAGAAATAGATTCCTTTCAAAATATTTCTGCTCATTGACCACTGCTCTGCTTAGCCACCCAAGAGCTCTGATGGGAGATGTACAGATGTTTTTGTGTCTAACACATCCATTCTGTGGCTCATGGATCAAGGGGTCACTTTGACTGTCAAGTGTTATTCTTTAAGAAATAGATTTTATAAAGGTATAGGTGCCAGAGACAGTGATTATTCAGATGGAGCTGAGCAAAGTAAATGGAAAACCTGGAAAGGATTCACCATTCAGGATCCCAGTAAGAACATTCAAAATTCACGAGAGGAGGTCAAAATATTAACATTACAAGAGTTGGGAATAAGTTGATTCTAATCCTCACAAATGACTCTGAGGACTTCAAGTCACTGCAGATGTGGTAGAAATAGCAAGAGAACTAGAATTAGAAGTGCAGCCTGAAGATGTGACCGAATTGCTATAATCTCATGATAAAACTTGAATGAATTTGAAGTTGCTTCTTATGGATGAGCAAAGAAAGTGGTTTATTGAGATGGAATCTACTCCTGGTAAAGATACTGTGAACACTGTTGAAACGACAACAAAGGATTTAGAATATTGCATAAACTTAGGTGATAAAGTAGTAGTAGGGTTTGAGAGGATGAATTCTAATTTTGAAAGAAGTTCTACTGTGGGCAAAATTCTATCAAACAGCATTGCATGCTAATGGGAAATCTTTCACTAAAGGAAGAGTCAATTGATGTGGCAAACTTCACTGTTGTCTTAAAGAAATTGCCACAGCCATCCCAACCTTCAGCAGCCAGCACCCTGACACCCTGATCAGTCAGCAGAGCAGCCATCAGCATCAAGGCAAAACTCTCTACCAGCAAAAAGACTGTATGACTTACTGAAGGCTCCATTGATTGTTAGCATTCTTATAATAAAGGATTTTTTAATTAAGGTATACACATTGTTTTTCTAGACACAATGATACTGCACACTTGATAAATTACAGTACAGTGTAAAGGTCACTTTTATATGCACTGGGAAACCAAAAAATTCATGTGAATCATTTTGTTGCTATATTTGCTTTATTGTGGTGGTCTGGAACCAACCCTGCAAATCTCTGAGGCACACATCGATACAATGGAATGTTCTTCAGTTAAAAAGAATGAAGTATTGACACATGCTGCAATGTGGATGAGCTCTGAAAACATTACACTAATGAAGGAAGCCACTCACAGAAGGTTGTATGTTATATGGTTTCGTGTGTATTAAATGTCTAAGATACACAAATCTACACAGAGACAGAAAGCAGATTGGGGGTTGCTAAGGGTTGGGGGTGGAGAGAAATGGGGGTGACTGCTAATGGGTACAAGATTTTTTCTCTGGGGAATAAAAATGTTTTAAAATTGAGTCTGGGGTGGCGCCTGTGGCTGAAGGAGTAGAGCACCAGCCCCATATGCTGAAGGTGGCAGGTTCAAACCCAGCTGCAACCAAAAACGGAAAAAAAAAAAATTGAGTCTGATGATGGTTTGTCTAGTTCAATAAGTGGAGTAAAAGA